GCTCTCAGCAATTCCCTTCATTTTTTAACAAACTCACTGACACTCATATGTTACCTTTTTGTGTATTTTGAAGTTTTCAAGTGCAAAGCTCTAGCTTGGAATCAGTTAGAACTCGTTTTCAAGTGCAAACCAGATATTAGTGACAAATTTGCACTTTGACACATGACTGAACATACATTCAGAGATTGACGCTAGGAGCCATCTAACAAGAATTTATCTGTCTTTTTCTAGGCTACATACGCCAATTGATCTTTCTTTCCCTAGGGTTTCTTTAATCTCATTTTCACTCAATTCATTCAACTCATCAACATCTGAAACAATAAGAGGTTCAAGACATGTAATTAAACTCGTTAGGTGTTCTTTAAGGTCACGAGCTCCTACTGTGGAGAGAACTTGAGATCTCTAGAAACGATAATTGTCCCTAATTATCTCTAGTTAATTTTGGACTAATTACTTGAAGACTGGATCTAAAAATTGAAGAATGAGTACTACTAACTAATAAGCATCTTCTCTGCACTTTTGTTATAGAAATTAACTACCAGGAACTTTCGCCATTGACGTATGTCTTCAACTCTGATACCATGTGGAAGTTGCGAGAAGAAAAAAATCTAAGAAAAGTTTAAGAGAATGTTTATTTCAATAAGCACAAAAAGCTGTAATTACAAAGCTTAGCTCACTTTTATACTAAACTGAGCTAAGAAGCTTAACAAGAATTAGCAACTATTTACAGTTGCCAGTGTAAAAGGAAAACGACACTGTATACACAACACAAATGAAATATTACAAATTGGTCCTCTAGCTTTGATCTTGACCAATAAGTTGTTCTCCTATAATTACCTGTATGTAAAGTAAATACTGGCAATAATATAACAATGGAGGTAAGCTTGGTTCTAACCCACGAACCACTTTAAAAATCTCTTTTGTTCTTACTTTTTAGATTCTCAATCCACTGTAGCTAATTAATCTTAATCACACATGCATCTATCCAGTCCGACCATGGTGGATTGGGTACTCTGGTTGTTGCAGGTTTTTGTAACAACAAACTTATTTGCATTATCTTTCTTTAGGAGATTGTGAATTTAGGGTCACCTTTTCAGAAACAATTAAAAAGGGGTCACAAACTCAAAACTCAATGAAAAGAGCCATTAACAACCTAAAAAATGTTAAATTTAACATCCTTCTCTGTAACTACTAAATACCATCAATTATTATTAAAAATAAAATAAAATTTGTGTTTCTTTTAAATTAAAACCTTTTTTTATTGAAATTTTTTTGTCATTTTAAAGGAAAAAAAAAACTAAAGATAAAAAAAAGAGTAATCTGCTCACTGCCAGACATGAAGACCTGATGATTTCGGGTTTATAAACAAAATAGGTCTCCTGGATGATTAAAAGAAACCTTAATTTTTAATGTGTTTTAAAACTTTTCTTTTTTTTTTTTTTTGGGTTGCTTTTTAAAAAAGTGACCCCGAATTAATAATTTCCCTTCTCAAGGTATTCTACTTGAGAATTTTCATCATATATATATAAGAAGCTAAATAATTTTAATTCACATTAATTACAAATAATTAATCAAGAAATAAGTGAAAAATAATTTTTAAGAACTATAATTTTAATTGGAAATGGAACTTTTTCTACCTGCTATGGCTAAAACTTGCAACTTCTGGCTGCTCTCACTGCTCCACGGGTAGACCGCCAGCGATCTACCCAATGGAGTGGCCGGTGTTGCAAGACGTGCCTTTGGCGATGGGGTTTGATTACCACCAACAGCTAATGTCCGACGACCTCCTGTCGACCAGTTTTAAAGTTTTTTATTTTATTTTTTATTATATAATTCACTTAATTTAAAAATCATTTATAAAAAATAGAATTTAGGTAACCTTTGGTGTTTTTGTAATTAACCCTTTCAAGAACAACTTTTGAATTTAGAAAGCTACAAATATCTGCTTTTGAAATGCTTTAGGGTCCGTTTGGTTTGTTATTTTGGATAGGATTTTGAAATAATATTGGTTATTGTAGGGTGATTATTACAAGGTAAAATTTAAAAATTAACAAAAAAAACTCCCTAGGTTTGCTAATTTAACTAAACACCCAATATATAAAAATTTTTAAGATGACAAAAACACCCCACAACCCACATGTGCCAGATTCCGGCCACCACCGCCGAAATCTGGCGTTACGATGCAATACCATCAGATTGACGGTCGTGCGTTGATCTGGCCTTTTTCGGCAGATCTGTAGTTTGTAGCGTTGTGACAGATTCCGATACCACCGACGGTGGTTGCCGGAATCTGGCAATATGGTCATAGGGGTGTTTTTGTTAATTTTTAAACTTTTTTCTGAGGGTGTTAATTAAATTAATAAACTTAAGGATCTAAAAATTAAATAAAATATAATAGTATTTCCTAAATAATAACAAACAGTTATTTTGATAATAGGATTGAAATAGAGTATGAAATAAAGAACCAAAAACCTTTTATTAGATGGTTATATCAAGATGGTCTTGACTAGAGAATATATATATATATATAATAAGAAAAAATGGTGAGTGAGTCTCAAGGTGAGTTTGTGGTTGTTGCAGCTTCTCTCATAATTACTATTATTATTATATATATATATAAGTCTCGGCTATATTGTCTTGTTGGATAAATTTACAATTGACAAAACTCATTCTACTTACGAAAGATATACAAAGATAAAGTCAATGTTCCAAGATTTTCATCAGTATCAAGTTTTATAGAAGCAACAATTAATAACAGCAGAACATGAAAACCTTTCATAATTCCGATCCCATGCATGCATGCAGCAAAGCTTTTGACTTTTTCGAAATTATAGAACGAACTGAACATTTCTTTTTTGGCATGAAGCCGCCACCATGGACAGAGCCAAAGCAGTATTTGATTGACAATTTTGTAGCACTATAAATGATAAGCAAAGACTTGAGGTTCTCAATAATCTTAAAATTTTCAAAATGCTTGTCGAGAATCATTTGTTTGTAAGAATATATTTATATGAAAAAATGGTGAGATGAGTACCAGTGGGGGCTGGTGACTTCTTCACTCAAACAAAAAGAAAATTCATTAATTTGCTTACTTTAGGGTTTTAACCAGGCTTGATTTGTTTGACCGTATGCACTTACTTTTCCTATATGTAATTAAATTAGTTACAATTTCACTCACATCATTTTCTTAAAATTATATTAAATACTTACTTATTCTCCTAACATTAATCCTGTACCGTAACAATTCTTTCTTGTTGACCCTATTATCAATTTCATCAGTATTCCAATTTTTATTTTATAGTGGCTTAAAAAGAAGCTAACGATTTAGGATTGGTTCATGAAAACGAAAAAAAAGGGGGAAGGGAATTGGTTTCTTCGAACCAGGGGTATTGTCACATTTTCTGTTTGTTTCTCTGGAAAGTTTTACACTTTTGGTTTTCTCTTCATTCGGTCTTAAGATTCTCAAAGTGCGTAAATTAATACTTTTTTTTTAATTAGATCTTCATTATTAACTTATAGTTAATACTTTAGTAGTAGTTAATCTTCATAATAATTAGAATAAAGACATTAAGAAAAATGGTCTCGATTAAATTATAATCTTAATTAAATTAGTTTTATGTTAATATTTGTTATTAATTGGATTAAAATACGTTGACTCTCTTATATTTATATGATGAAAATTCTCAAGTGGAATACCTTGAGAAATGCTTAAAGAAAAGCAAATGCAATGAGTTGATTATTTTAAATGAGTCTAAATAGAAGGAAAATAATAATTGACCAAGCAAATGCAGATCACTTCTATTAATTATCAACTCCACCCAAAATTTCGACACAATTAATTAGCTGGAACTAAGATTAGACGTCAAAGCGGTATCTAAGCACTTATAAAAATATTAAAACTTCCCTGAGTTTTAGTTTCTACGCAAAAGGTAGGAAAATTACCCTGACCCCCCACGTTTGGAGAATTCCAATATCTCCCCTCATTAGTCATTACCCTTGATTGATAAATTTCTTCCACTGTTTATTACTTTAATCCTATGAACTGGTTTATTATATTTAATCCTATGAAATTCATTGATACAAACCCATCCATTTTATTTCGAAAGAACTAAAAACACCGTGCCCTTAGAGATGTTATGTTTTCATTCCAATGTTAAAATTAAAGTTCCTTCCCATTACTTACCAACTTAAAATTTATTTTTTGTTCCTCCTATGTTATTATTTTTTATAAAATATTAAAATGGTAGAATAACTTCACATAATTTATTATTTATTTATGATTTTTATTTTAATAATTTTTTAAGGAAAATACATAATTTACCAAATTCATTTTTCAATTTAATTTTTTTAATTTTTAATTAAATTTTTTTAAATGTGTGTACCCTTCTTAGAAAAATATAATTGTAAGTTATAGGTTGATTTTGGTGATTGGATATTTGAATAAAGAATTAAGAAATTTGTTAAGTTAGTAATGATGGAAGGTTAAATAAGAGATCAAATAAAATCCTCTATCACATTCAGCACTGAGGAAGAGTTATTGGATAATTCTTCAAATATGAAGGGAGGTTAGAACTAATTTTTTTATTCCATCGAAAATTTAGTTAGGAAATAATGAGGTTTAAGCAAAATAAATTAAATAATAGTGGGGTATTTCTGCATGCGTTTTATTTATACTTTTAGTTTACAGCATCTATTAATTATAAAAAGTTCAGATTAACTGAGAGAAGACTACGAAATCTAAATAAATCAATAATATTTTCCAACTCTCAACTTTCATGCACGCTTTCAGATAATCTTAAAAACCAAAAGAGCCGCCAAAGACTTGCTATACTTTGGAGGCTCAGTACATCCACGGCTTATTTTATTTTGAAGCCGTGGCAAAGCCGCCATCTTGGACCAGCTTGATTCACAACTTTAGAACAGTACTATTTCGTTGACATTGAAGACTATAAATAACATGTTAACATTAAGATTCTCATTCATTCCTTCATCTATCCATCAGTCTCTTTCAACATTATTCTCTCAGTCTGCCAATTTAGTTTTTTGCTTCAGTTGCTAATTAGAATGGCTTCATTGATTAGTTATACATGTACTAGTGTTGTCACCATATTGTTGATTATTTGTATACAAAGTGAAGCTCAACTCTCTTCAACATTCTATGACTCTACATGTCCTAATGCTCTCACTACAATCCGCACTGCTATTAGGACTGCCATTTCTCGAGAGCGTAGAATGGCAGCTTCTCTCATTCGTCTCCATTTTCATGACTGCTTCGTTCAGGTATATATAAAACTTGAAGAGGAATTAAGCAGTTTTTCTTTTGATCATTTTTTTTTTTTTTACTAAGAGTTGGTTAATTAATTGCAGGGCTGTGATGCATCCATCTTGTTGAATTATTCCTCCACAATCACCAGTGAGAAAAATGCCCTGCCTAATTTGAATTCAGCAAGGGGATACGAAGTCATAGATAATGCTAAGTCTCAAGTCGAGAAAATTTGTCCGGGTGTTGTTTCGTGCGCAGATATTCTTACTGTTGCAGCCCGTGATGCATCATTTGCAGTAAGTTATAATATTATTTCTAATCATTTTTCTTACTATATATCATCCAACTTTTGTGAAAAATGGATTTTTAATAGTGACAATTAAATAGGTTGGTGGACCATCATGGATAGTTAAACTTGGGAGAAGAGACTCTACCACAGCAAGTTTAAGCTCAGCTAATACCGAACTGCCTGGCTTTGGAGATAGCCTTGATAGACTTGTTTCGATGTTCGGAGCCAAAGGTTTGAGTGCAAGGGACATGGTCGCTCTTTCAGGTTCGCATACAATTGGACAAGCACAATGTTTCACCTTCCGTAATAGGATTTATAACAATGCAAGTGATATTGATGCTGGCTTTGCTAGTACTCGAAGACGTCAATGTCCAGCTACTGGTGGGAATGCAAATCTTGCACCGCTTGAATTGGTCACACCCAATTCTTTCGATAATAACTACTTCAAGAATCTTATTCAGAAGAAGGGTCTTCTTGCATCAGATCAAGTACTCTTTAGTGGAGGATCTACTGATAGCATTGTTGATGAATATAGTAAGAACCCAACAAAATTCAAATCTGATTTTGCAGCTGCCATGATAAAGATGGGAGATATCAACCTTCTTACTGGTTCTAAAGGACAAATACGAAAGTTATGCTATGCTGTTAATTAAATTGCTTCCATATTTTATTCAAATTTCAATTGTAAACTGTATATGTGATGATTCAATTGATTGTGGTTCATTTTCTAGAATTAATAAGGGATGCCTTAAGTAAGAGTGGCATTCCAGAGATGCATACTTCTGTTTAATTATTATTTATTCTTCATTAATTTCAAGTGTAATATATAGAAGTTATAGTTGTGCAACTTTTGAACATTCCTTGTTTCGCTTTTAAGTAAGATTCAGTTTTTTTATTCATTATGGTTATTTTCCAAATAAAATAGCAGCAAAGTACTTGACAAGAGAACAAATAAGCTGATTTCCATTGTCCATGCATGGAGGTTTCAAATAATTCATTATGGTTATACTCCTGCTTTAGTTAATAAAGCTATTGCTGATGATATTGAATTAAGAAAAATGAACTTTTACAAAAATATTAGCTCTTATCACAGATCCAATTAATGAACATTTGATAAACTTTTTGAAATAACTTGCAGATTTGATAAAGAATTAATGTCAACTTGCAGATATTGCAGAGTTACAACACATAAAATAAAACCCCAACTAAGATAGCATATTAGCTAGTTTTCGATAATCAACTTAAATTTCTATAATCCAAAGACGTTTTGGAGCCAAGAAACCTTGAGAAGGTTTGTTGAAGAGTGACCACGCCAATATTGAGTATTCCCTGAGGATTACCTGATGATCTACGCACATGGAACGCCATAAATCTGTGTCCCAAGGTCTCATTGTTACTGCTGCAACCCTTTTGCATCAAATCTTCAAGCAAAACATTCGCAGAACCAATCCTTTTGTCTTTCTTGAATCTTCGAACCTTATAGATTTCCAACACCATGGAAGAAGTAGAAGTGAACAACTCAGAATCACGATCAATGACGAAAAAAAACTTGTCATTCCAAGTAGGATTTCCGTCGCCATCTTTGTCAACTCTTGAAAAATGCTTTTTTTTAGAATCGATGTATGCGACCACGTAGGTTTGCATCTTTGATGATTTCTTCTCTGAAAGCTGTTGTGCTGACACAAGATTGACCTCCAAAATAGTTGTTTTGACTGAACTCATCTTCAAGAACGGAGAGAGATCGACAACTAGGAGGAAAGAAAGATGTTTGAGGAAGAAGAAGATGTAGGAGTAAGATGATTTTGTCAACTTATAATCAATTAATTAAAAGTAGTGTTTATATCAAACAAGGAAACACGATAGAAATTTGTATAAACAATAAAATAGAGATCTAGGGTTTACGTGATGTCTCTAAAAATCTCAATATTTCGTGTAAAAAAGATTTCCAGATTATTTTAGGATTTCTTTTTTGTTTCAAAAGATTTCAACATTATCTAATTGTTAATTCGTTTAATTCTTTATCAACATTATTCCACCAATAGTATCAAAAGCTTTAGCTATGTCAATTGAAAAATAATCTAAAACTTTCCCTTCACGGCAAAGTTTTGCTTATATATTACCTTAAAAAGAACTACAGGAGTTTCAAATTCTTATTTGAAGATAAAAAATTGAAAACAAAAATAATAATAATAATAACATTACACTTACAAAGTCCTATACAAAGTCAAAGACTTTCATAAATCATTATCCTATACAAAGTCAAAAACTCTCATACGAAATGACGTGGAAACTGAGTTGACACTACCTGTCATCTTATTTAAACCAATTTAATTAATTTATGAACTTAATTTTATTACTGTAATTACCGACAATTTCAACAAACTACTCCTGTCTTATAATGTTTTCACGTTACAATTCCTTTGCAATGCCGAAATACGGAGGCTTGAACCAAAAAAAAAAAAAAAAAATCAATTCTGCGGTGCTTGGCAAGGAAAAAGGAAAAGAAAAGGCCGACTTATGCATACCCAAGGTTTATTGAAAGGACAAGTTGATATCCAAAAGGTTTTGAAACGACAAATAGGTACCTCTTGTCATGTTCTGTTAGTGATTTTGGTTAGATAATAGTGAAAAGACTAAAATGCCCTTGAAAGTTTAATTTTTAGTTTTTTATAAATTTAAAAATTTCTAAAAACCCCCTAGGTTTGCTAATTTGACTAAACACCCCCATATATAAAAACTTTTAAAAATAACAAAAACCCCCCGCCACCGCAGTGCCAGATTCCGACCACCACCGCCTGAATCTGGCGAAAAATTGCGTTACGACACAGACCATCGGATTATGTCGTAACACGTAGATCTTTCATTTTCCGGCAAGATCTGTGGCTGATCTGGCGGAAAAGACCAGATCTACGGCCAGATCTGGCCGTCGAGCCCGGAAACTTGCCTGAAAATTGTGTTACGACACAGACCCATCGATCTGTGTCGTAACACGTCGGGCTGGCGTTTTCCGGCCAGATGTGGATGATCTGGCCGGAAAAGGCCAGATCTGGCCGTCGAGGCCGAAAAAGGCCAGACATAGATCTGGCCTTTTCCGGCCAGATCCGAGGTGGATCTGGCCGGAAAAGGCCAGATCGGTGTGTTACGACACAGATCCGACGGGTCTGTGTCGTAACACAATTTTCCGGCCAGATTCCGGCGGTGGTTGCCGAAATCTGGCACTGCGGGGGTGGCGGGGTGTTTTTGTTATTTTATAAAATTTTTATATATTAGGGTGTTTAGTCAAATTAGCAAACCTAGAGGGTTTTTTAGAAATTTTTAAATTTATAAAAAACTAAAAATTAAACTTTCAAGGGTATTTTAGTCTTTTCACTATTATCTAACCAAAATCACTAACAGAACATGACGGAAGGTATCCATTTATCATTTCAAAACCTTTTGGGTATCAACTTATCGTTTCGACAAACATTAAGTATGTATAAGTCGTTCTCCCAAAAGAAAAAGAAAAAACCTCCACTTGTTTATGGTATTCTCTCATCTATGGTACGAATATCATTTGTTCGTAGAGTTTTAATGGCCCACAAAAGGTTGTTTTAATTTGTCCTCTTGAAAACAAATTTTAAAATTTTATATAATTTGTTATAAATTATGGCTTGTTATTAAAACTATTAAAACAAAAATAAATAGCCAATAATAAATACAAACAACAAAGACATCAAGAAATTTACTATTCTTAAAGAATATTACAAACTTTTTAACAATATTACAAATACCCAGAATAAAAAGAATACAGAAAAACCACAGGGTAAAAACCCTTTACAATAAGATTACGAGGGAAAGATATTTTTGGGATGATCACTTGGCTACTTTATCGTTTATATAGACCTTAATTCTTAACCCCATTCATATTCTTCATTGATGTAGGATTAGTAATTATCCTATTCTTATTGAAACAATAATTTTACGTATAGCAAAGGATTACTAATTTTACTTATTGCGAAGTTGTAAAATTAATTAGTTATTGGGGTTACGAATTAAGGTCTATAAGTAAAATTATCATTTCGAAATCACAATATTCCTGTAATAAATCAAAATCTAATGGCTATTAACTCATTAATTTTTTTTTCTTTTTTCGTCTGAGAGCAGGTTGGACCATCATAGACACTTAAACTTGGAAGAAGAGATTCAATCACTGCAAGCCTGAGCTCAGCTCAATCTGATCGTCCTGGCTTTGGAGATTCTATAGACGGTCTTATTTCTTTGCTCGATAGCAAAGGTTTGAGTGCTACAAACATGGTTGTACTTTCAAGTTTTCACCTATCTATGTTAAATATACGACGTTCACGTCTTTTAAAATTCGGCGAGTTCAAAATTTTGATTCTTTGAAAGGCATTTGTTCGATAATGCAACATGTATAAACCGTTAATACAAACTATATCCTATAATCCGATGTGACAATCCTGCATGTTGAGAAAAATTTACATTAAACAGTCTCCCTAACTCACTATTGGCTGATGTGATCAAACCGTCTAATAAAACAAAGACACGTATTATTAAATTTACTGGATTAATACATGATTAATGCAACTACCATTTCATCTTCAAGCACAGTTCAAACACTGTTACAAAACTATCTTCAATTTTACAATTTACTGTGTCATCAGTGTCATTATAAAACCATCTTCAATTTCACAAACGAGATCAACACAATATATATAAATATGAAAGAATTACGCTTATATGATAATATAAATAGATGCTAGACATGAATTTCTTTTGTTTTTGTACACATTAACTAGAATAAAACTACACATACCGTTTGGTTGCCACTTACAACTATACATAAACTTGGCATACTAAAAACAGTATCACCTTACCCTACGTATAGAGATGCCGTCGGGGGACTTCTAACCTAATAATACCCATATTAAATAGTATTAAAGTTCTAATATGCCCCCTTGTCCATAATGAACATGGTTCAAGTGCTACCACAATCGGGGACATAATCGAAGAATTCAAACATAAGACCCCCCTTTGTCCCTTAGGATATTTTATTAACTTATTACCTAATAGGTAAGGGCTAACGATAGTATTTAAGTTCTAGCATAGACATTTTGCCTCAATTTCCTCAAGAGTGAGTCCTTTTGTCTCCGGAACAATAAAGAATATAAAGATGAGAGACAACACAGCTATCACTCCGAATCCATAAAACAGAACTCCAGCTCCCAATAGTGCCTGCAATAAACTAACTTTAATCATCTTCCAAACAACCAAACATTTTAACAGAAATTGATATTTAGGATATTAGCCTATATTCCGCATATAAACAGAATGCAATCATTTGATCATCTGACTCCCGATGCAAAAAAAATAAGACATTCCCAAAAAAGGCAAGGAAATTTGATTTACCCTTGATAAGATAGCTACATTATTGAAAATTATTCTAATTGAGAATGCAGCAACTGGCCCATATAAACTGATAAACTTGGAAATGGTGAGTAAAAGCAATTTTCAACAATGTACGACAATATTTGATTGAAAAAATAAACTTCAAAGAAGATAGCATTCAAATACAGGTTTAAATTTTAGTACCTTTAGAGGAGAGAATGAAAATGTCACAAGTGCATTTGCGCCAAAATTCACAAGCACTGCTATGCTTAATCCTCGTCCTCTTAGTCGTAGAGGAAAAATCTCTGAAATCATCAGCCAACCAATAGGACCAAAGGATAACTGCAAAACTAATTTCATAAGCCACACTGGCACAAGCTACAGAACTGAAACCTATATCAGATATAAACTATGAAACCCACGAGGACAAAAATGTGAAAAAACTGAGTATTAGATATATAATTAAAAAAATAATGTGTAACATGGTTCAGAATCTTCCCACTATTTTTGTGGCTGAAACACAAAGACCTCCTTCTTTTATTTTGGCTGTTACAGATGATCAACCAGGAGGTACCCTAAAGAAGATGGGAACTATGTAACAGGACAAGGACCATAGACTAATGGCTCCTGCAAATACTAGTCATTTAAAACCAAGCTGCTAATTACATATACCATCATACATCTAGTTCAAACTGATGCTGTATTAATTGCATTTGGCTAAAGGGTTAAATCTTTGTACACCTACGATCAAACTTTCAGCATAAATATAGATGAGAGGGGTCAACTATGTTTCACCAACAAGCATAAAGAGGTCATAGGAAACAGTAACTGTGTCAGTATTAATGCTTTAAACAGTAAAGCTACCCTGTACCTTTCTTGCTCTCTCTCTCTTTGATTTTCTTTTTCTTTTTTCTTCTTTTGCCCTTTACATAAAATAAAGCTGTCCTATTAAGGCAAACTTAAGTGATTAACAAAAGAAAGTAGGGGTAAAAAGAAATTGTTAAACTCATCTAACCATACTAATCATGAAACCACAGTATACAAAAGAGTATTTAGCCTCCTGACCATGAATGATAAAATACAAATGTAAGATATCCCGTTCTTTGGTTTAGAAAATTTGAAGGGCGCAATGACCAATTAGGTCGACATAAACCGCTGAGTGCTTCCCGAGAAAAATCTAAAGCATGGAATCACTAAGGCAAGTAAACTAAGAAAAATCATGAATTTTTCTTATTCACAATCCTAATTCCAGCTAACAAAAGATGTACCAAAGTGATAATTTAGTGATAGTACAAATGCTTTACATCATATTAAAGCCCACATTTCTTGAGATGAAAGTTTTAACAAGGAATGAAATTCCTAATTACCTGATAACACCCTACATACAACAGGAGGGCAACAACAGCTACAGC